TCGCGAGCTTTCAAGGTTTCAAGAAAATTTGGAGCCGTTCACCAAACGAACGTCCAATCAGCGTTGGCTTTGAGGCGGGTTGAGGTGTGACGCAACGACAAGCGCAATAGTTGAGTCTAAAGAACATGGCGGCTTCAGCCGGTGAAACTAGCGTTAGCGTGGCTATCGAGCAAGTTTTATCGGAATTACAGAGTATTTCTTCACTGAAAGAAGAGCAAAACACTGCTCTGTAGGCTTTTCTCAGAGAAAAATATGTTTTTGCTCTTCTCCCGACTGGTTTTGGCAAGAGTTTGATCTATCAATTGGCTCCTCTTCGTCGTCGCTCTGTTAGTACGTCATATGCTTCGTTGATCTGATTGGTTTATTTGGCCCGTCTATCACCAACATAGACCAATCAGCTAACCAGTATTTTCGCCCCTTCCCAAAATTACTTCAACGGAAGGTTTCCAGATGGATATGCGGAGCAAATCCATCTGGCGGAGTCAGGTTATATTTTAACATCAGTCTAACTGATTGAAATATTTGCTGCTGATTTTTGTAAACTGATACGGTTTTTCCTTCTCCATTTATGTTGCAACAATGACACAAAATGTCACACAAATCTCTTTTTTTTTTAGTTTGTACAGCACTAGTGGCTTGTTTTTCTGACAGTAGGCTGACAGGAAAGGTGGTATGAGAGGGGGAAAGACATTTAGCAAAGGACCAGAGGCCAGTTTAGAACCTGGGTCACCCGCAACGAGGACTCCATGCATGGGTCGTGTGCACTAACTACTGCGCCACCTGCACGCCACTTTTTACACAAAAAAATTTACATTTATTGGCAAATGAAGCACAACATTAATGATAGAAATTGGAGGGATCGGCAAAGCATGTGCCTCACCTGAAGGCATGGCTGCTAAATGTACTAATGAATCAGTCAATGCATGCACATTCCTGTTGATACAGATACAAGAAATACATGCTAAATATAGCCCAAAATATCAGATGGCTTATTTATATGCCAATCTTTATATCAAAGGTCCACAAACCAGAATATGGGATTCTATGTCAAGGATTATCCAGGGTATGGGAGTTATCTGCGACAGTACCCTCTTATCTGTTGTACTTGTTTCCAATTTTTGCTCCATAAACCACCTTTGTCCATCCCTCAGGTCTTCTCCACTACCGTCCTCATTCAGAGCCTGTCTCCTTTACAGTCTCCCTGAAAATGACCCCCATATGCTTTTAACGGTCTAGACTTTACCGCCTGTTTTATCACTAGAAGCCCTCCACCCACCGCATTATTCACACTCTAAAACAGCTAATGGGGATTCCCATCAAACCCAGAATTCAGTTTAAAGTCCTCATTACTTTCAAGGCCGCCAACAACCTAACATTACCCCACCTGTCACAGCTCCTCCACCTTCATACATCCTCCAGCTCCCTTAGGTCTTCATCGTCCACCATCCTCTTCAATCCTCCTAACTGTGGAATCATCCCTGCAACATCCATAATAAACAGCTTGTCTTTTTAATGTTAAGATGTGCTTTTTAATTAGAAAGTATTATTTTTAGTTTTAGTCTTAACCTTTAAAATGGCCATCAATTGTCAGTCTGGAGTATGGAGTAAGTTGTTCCATTGTTATTGAAAGCAAAAAACACATTGTGTAAATTGAAATTCGAAAACAACGCAATGCAGAAATGAAACTTTAAAAAAAAAACATAATTTTTTAGAGTAAGTTTGCTGATTTTATTGTTTGTTACGATTTATTTTCTTAAGTTCATTTTTTTTAATCGCGTTTTACAGATCATATTCTCTTAATTTCAAACCCGATACAAGCGCTCACTCTTACAACGCACATTGATGACACACAAGACCCCCTCAGTCGATTTAAATTTTATTTGGAAAATATTAATAAAACAAATAAAATAAAAAAACAATACATGTAGAAATTAGAAAAGAATAAAAAAAAATAGAACAGCAAAACAATGCAATCCGAGAAAACAGCAAAGTTATTGTCAAACCTTTTCTTTTTCCATAAAAATTTGTTTCTTTTTAAAGTTTTGGAGCCAATTCCATAAGTAAGGATCTAGACACCTAACAAAAATGTACAGGGTCTTATTTTTTATTTTTATTTTTTTGGTTGAAGCTACACAACACCGTTTTCCTTGCACTATAACTTCAGAACTGGGTTCAAAGAGATCATCCATCAATCATCCATCCATCTAACCTGACTCCGCCAGATGGATTTGCTCCACATATCCATCTGGAAACCTTCTGTAGAATAATTTTGGGAAGGGGCGAAAATACTGGTTAGCTGATTGGCCTATGTTGGTGATAGACGGGCCAAATAAACTAATCAGATCAACGAAGCATATGACGTGCTAACAGGGCGACGACAAAGAGGAGCCAATTGATAGATCAAACTCTTGCGAAACCAGTCGGGAGAAGAGCAAAAACATCTTTTCCTCTGAGAAAAGCCTCCAGAGCAGTGGTTTGCTCTTCTTTGTGTGAAGAAATACTCTGTAATTCTGATAAAACTTGCTCGATAGCCACGCTAACACTAGTTTCATCGGCTGAAGCCGCCATGTTCTTTAGACTGAACTGTCGCTCTTCTCGTTGCGTCACACCTCAACCCGCCTCAAAGCCAATGCTGATTGGACGTTCGTTTGGTGAACGGCTCCAAATTTTCTTTAACGGAAAGTAGCCAGACTGATCTGCGAGTGAAACCTTGAAAGCTTGCGAGATCAGGATGGTCTCACGAGGCTACCATCCATCATCCCTGCTTATGAAAGCAGAGTCACTGGGCTGATGCCTATCTCCATCGGTTACTGGGCGAGAGGCAGGGTACACCCTGCCAGGTCGCTATTCCATAACAGGGTGTTCAAAGTGAACAAACAGCATGGCCATAATGGCTTTGATTCTGTTCTGTTTCTCAGCCAGTTGACCCACTTAAAACTGTCCTTTCTACACTCCTGTGTGAAATATATCTCATTTTAAATCATTTTGATAAACCATGTGTAAATGTGACCCAGTATGGTTGGCTCTCAGCTTCGCTATGCTTACTGAGTTTGATTTTTAACCCAAGGGGTTACAATGACATCACGGCTACAAAGCAGAGGGTTAAAAAGAGCAACTTCTATGCTTGTTTTTGGCTCGATCGTTCAACTCAACAGCCATCAATAGTTGGAGTGCACCCTAGACATGCTGTCTATTCAACATAGACACACAGAGAATTAATAACCATGCCTGAAGCTCGCTGACAATTTAGAAAGAACAATCGACTCTTCTTTAGTACAAGCAGCTTAAAACCAAGATGAGGGGCAAAGTAGGAAGCTGGTGTAAAAGCTGTCACTTTCTATTCTGTGTCTAAAGGTTTCGGCTCAATGAACCAGTGGTTCCTCCGACTACTTTGAACCACAAAACTTGGCTTCCCCTTGTAAACGAGTTTTCAGGTTCTCTGAGGCCTCTGAGAAAAACCAAAGCAAGCGTTCTGAAGTTAGTTATAACTGTGGCATGATTTTTTAGAAACCTACGGATGACCTTAAACAGCTGAAATTTCCCTTTCTGTATTGTTTAGAGAAATTATTCTCATCATCTGGTTCTGATCACAGTTAAAAGTGGGCGGTATCCTCAGCTGCGGCTTGCATGTCTGAGGCTTTTTTACCCTTCTTTGTTAAAAAGAGGCGGTTAGAAATCTGTACGCCATCACTGTTTGAAGGGCTTTGATCTGCTATATTGACGTAAATTGGAGAGCAGCACGCTGGCTGTCTTGTTAGGTTAAGCATATGGCCTAAATTTCTTCCATGTGTGAAGCCCTATGAAGCAGAGATCAGTCTTTTCCATAAAAAAAGGGGGGGAAGGTGGGGAGATCCAGATGCATTCAATAGCCCCTCCCTGCTGGCAGAAATCCTCCGTATTTCAGAGGAAAAATTGTCTCCTCTTTGTTTCCTCATATGTGCACATCTTATTTCTTCTAAACCGGTCTTTTCCCTCTAAATACCCACGCTCCCAGCAGATGTGAGTCATCAGTGGTAAAGAAAAAGGCACGGCTGTTAACTCGAACAACATCGATCCTGGGTTTTCATTAGCAGATCTGCTCCATGTTTTGCAAAGGTTCAGAGCCAAAGAGGAAGTGCTTTGGTTTCTTTGGCAGGAGTAAGACTCTGGCCTGACTTCCCCCAGTTTGGGGAGCGAAAAAGTGCCTCTCATGTTGCTTGTGCAAACAACTGTTAGCGTTTGATATAAATTTTTTCCTTCCTTTCAGAGCATTTGAGAGGAGAGAGACCATTTATGAGGCATGGTGGCGTGGGCTGCAGCTGAGCCAGTTAACAGTACAACCTCGTGTTTCAGAAGGGAAGAGAGACGGAGAAACAGGGTCATTTTACTTTGAAGCAGAGCAGCAAGGCACTACTACACTTATCACCCACAATGGTGTAAAGAACAAAACACAAGAGACCACATAGTTGGAGTTAAAAAGAAGTGAAAGTGTTTCTTTAATGTAAAGCCCCTCCTTTGGAGAGGAAAGATACACAGGGTCACTGTCCTATGTGGTTAGATGGTGGGGGGTCTCTTACGCACTGGCAGTAGGAGGCAGTGGTCTCCTTAACTTTCACGCCACTTGTTTAGACGAATAGGAGTGAAAAGGGAAGAAGTTAAAGAGAGACTGCCTGAGAAGGGGTGGGGGAACCAGACAGAGTGGGAGGGGGGTCTGCAGAGTTCACTAGCGCGAGGGGGAAAGAAGGGGTACGCTGAGAATGAGGCTGCACATTGAAACCTCTACGCTCAGTCTGTCTCTAATACCAACTTCCCTGAACTTTCTGAGAGCGTTACAAAGATGAAGGAGCTCTGTGTGCACCCCTCCCCCTCTTCCTCTACGTCTTCCGGATGTCCTTCATGCCAGCCCCCCATGCGATCAGGGCACTCTGGGACCCTCGGGGCGCCGCGCGCGATGTCGACAGGCTCAGCCGTGGCCATGGATCCGCTGGGACCTAATTACGTGTCCGTGTGTCTGTTGGCAGATGAGTCCTACCAGAAGCTGGCCATGGAGACGATGGAGGAGCTGGACTGGTGTCTGGACCAGCTGGAGACCATTCAGACCTACCGGTCCGTCAGCGACATGGCCTCAAACAAGGTAGGCTGGAGCTTTCTGTCCGAGCTTTGGGTTCCGGTCTCTGAAAGCAGAAATGTGATCACACTGAAACCCTGTGTGTTTGGAAAGCTTCTTTTTTAATTTTTTCAAGAACAAAATAATTAGATTAAATTTAATTTGTCCTTCTGTGGTTTAATTTTTTAATATCTTCACTCAGGAACACAATAGAACAATAATTTTTTCACAGTAGATGTTGATGAACCTGCAGAACAACAGTTGGACTCTGGACCGATTTGATTCCTCTCCTCCACACTTCTCCATAACTGCTCTATCTGCAGCTTGTTTATTCATATGCACGCAGTATGCAAAATGTTTGTCACCACATTGACGCACTTGCAAATTGCTTTAGGGATGTCTTACATAAAAAAAGAGAAGTGTGAGTAGCATGTTTTACATAAAGACAACAAAGTTCCTGTTATCTCTCTGGGTCTTTGACTCCTGCCTTATGGAAATGGATGTAGGTTGTTTGCAAATATGTTTTAGCAGCTCGCTGTAAAGGGGCTTGATTAGAAATAACCGGAAGCATCAATCATTTTGACATGGGATGTTTATTAATCTACTTTAATAACAACTTTACTCTCCAAGTTGAAATTCAGATAAAAAAATACTTTATTAATCCCAAAGGGGAAAAAAATACTAATTCTCTAGAACGTATAGCTAACATTTAAGGTCAAAGCAAACACAGACACTATGGCAGCTTTTTATAAAGTAGGCCTTAAAATCAGTAAACCAGTGTGAGATAAACAAGGCTTTTTAATGTAAAGCAGCAGAAAAAAAACTGTCTTTATCAATTTTAAATTTGTATAATAGCAAAGTAAAGCTTGGAGGGGATGAGTTGAGGTCTATGATGTTTCAGAGGCCATGCATTCACTAAGAGATTTTAACTGCTTTATGTAAAACAACCAGAGGGATAGAAATATGGGACATTTAATAACTTAATTAAATTTTTTTCTCATTGCTCTTTGTTTTTTTGTATTACTACAGACGTTTAATCTATGCAGCTTTAATAACCCTAGCTTCTCTTTTCAACAGGTTTTCCTGTTGTAGAAGTAGTTTACCTAGTATTAGTTTCACATAAATGTATAAATACAAAAACTTTCAATCAAACCTTAGAATATTTTATGTTTTGATTTAACTTTAAAAGTTAGCAGTTGTTTCTCCTGCAGACGTAGATGTATAGAACAAAGATCTGTTACCTACTAAGTGTTTTTTTTTTTTAAAGAAAGTTGTTATATCATAATACCAGTATAAAAAATGCTGGGTTTTTTGTTTTTGTTTTTTTTATTATAAAAAAGTACAAAATAGTGACATAACATGAAATTAAACACAGAAAAATTACTCATAAATTTAAGAAATTAAATATATACAGAAAACCAAGGAACAGTATAAATGCTGGTTAATTAGTCAAGCTACACTATATTGCCAAAAGTATTTGCTCACCCATCCAAATTATTGGAATCAGGTGTTCCAATCACTTCCATGGCCACAGGTGTATAAATTCAAGCACCTAGGCATGCAGACTGTTTTTACAAACATTTGTGAAAGAATGGGTCGCTCTCAGGAGCTCAGTGAATTCCAGCGTGGAACTGTGATAGGATGCCACCTGTGCAACAAATCCAGTCGTGAAATTTCCTCGCTCCTAAATATTCCACAGTCAACTGTCAGCTGTATTATAAGAAAATGGAAGTGTTTGGGAACGACAGCAACTCAGCCACGAAGTGGTAGGCCACGTAAACTGACGGAGCGGGGTCAGCGGATGCTGACGCGCATAGTGCGAAGAGGTCGCCAACTTTCTGCAGAGTCAATCACTACAGACCTCCAAACTTCATGTGGCCTTCAGATTAGCTCAAGAACAGTGCGCAGAGAGCTTCATGGAATGGGTTTCCATGGTCGAGCAGCTGCATCCAAGCCATACATCACCAAGTGCAATGCAAAGCGTCGGATGCGGTGGTGTAAAGCACGCCGCCACTGGACTCTAGAGCAGTGGAGACGCGTTCTCTGGAGTGACGAATCGCGCTTCTCCATCTGGCAATCTGATGGACGGGTCTGGGTTTGGCGGTTGCCAGGAGAACGGTACTTGTCTGACTGCATTGTGCCAAGTGTAAAGTTTGGTGGAGGGGGGATTATGGTGTGAGGTTGTTTTTCAGGAGCTGGGCTTGGCCCCTTAGTTCCAGTGAAAGGAACTCTGAATGCTTCAGCATACCAAGACATTTTGGACAATTCCATGCTCCCAACTTTGTGGGAACAGTTTGGAGCTGGCCCCTTCCTCTTCCAACATGACTGTGCACCAGTGCACAAAGCAAGGTCCATAAAGACATGGATGACAGAGTCTGGTGTGGATGAACTTGACTGGCCTGCACAGAGTCCTGACCTCAACCCGATAGAACACCTTTGGGATGAATTAGAGCGGAGACTGAGAGCCAGGCCTTCTCGTCCAACATCAGTGTGCGACCTCACAAATGCGCTTCTGGAAGAATGGTCAAAAATTCCCATAAACACACTCCTAAACCTTGTGGACAGCCTTCCCAGAAGAGTTGAAGCTGTTCTAGCTGCAAAGGGTGGACCGACGTCATATTGAACCCTATGGATTAGGAACGGGATGTCACTTAAGCTCATATGTGAGTCAAGGCAGGTGAGCAAATACTTTTGGCAATATAGTGTATCTGCTCAGTGGCAGCCCTGCAATCAGCTGCTAAAATAACTTCTCCCTCAAACATCGCTGATCATAGTTGTAGATCTTTTTTTTTTTTCTATCAAGAGTTATAGATGGGGCTCCTTTAGGAGCAGTGGGTCGCTACTATGCAGCGCCTGGGGAGCAGTGTGGGGTTAAGGGTCTTGCTCAGAGAACCTCGAGTGCCGACTGTGGGGATCATTCTCAAAACAAAAAAACTGAGAAATCTCCGGTTACCGCAGCACTTCCTCTGGTTTCTTGATATCAGAAGTTTAAGCAGTGTGGTAAGATGGTTTTGGAACTAGTAGTCTACCAAAGATCAGACTCATAGTTGGCTTCTATCATTCAGTTCAACTCAAAATTACTTGATTGATGCCAAATGAATTTAATTTTGTTGCAACTCATATGATAGCAGTTTATCAAGATGTAGGAAGGACAGATCTCCTGTAGTGGTCCGTCTTACAGTGGGTGTAGAGTAGCCTCTGACTGAAGACACCCTGTCCAATAAAGGGATGCTCAGAGTTCCTTTATAAAGTTGAGTCTCTGTAAAATAATTTCCAGAGGATCTAGAGGAGTCATCGGAACAGTCTTCTTTTTTATAAAATGATATAAATCCTGTAATCTGTGCGCTCATATAAGCATACTGGGGTGGAACGGTTCACAAAATCCACGGTTCGGTTCGGTATGTGTTGATTGTTAGCCTGACATGTTGGTCGTGTTGCTGTTAGCATAAACAAAACGTGTTGCACAATGCTTGCGCACTGTTTTTATCCACAACTTTCTTTCCGCCATCATCGTAGGTCACTCTAAATGAAAAGTGGTCCCATACAGCAGACCTATAAAGTGCTGCTGGCGCGTCTTCCAACTCCTGTTCTTTCCCACTCGCCATACCCACACAATTCTCCACAAGAACTGATTTTTTTCTACTACACCCGGCTACGCTGCTTCGCTTCTTCTTGTTTACTACTGGTGGTTGGCTTTGGTGGCAGTACCGCCACCTTCTGCTCTGGAGTGTAAACGCTTCGCCTATGAGAAAAAGGAGCAGCGCATGAACCGAACGCAACACACGCAAACTGAACCGAGACAGTCGAACCGAACGGTTCAGACGGTTTTCATAAACCGTTCAATCCCTAAAGCATACAGATGCTAACTTCGCACACTAAATGTTTGAATCCCTCTTTATTTATTTCTAAGGTATAAACTAAACATTGACCAAGAACGCAACATATTTGGACTTTACTTCCAAAGATAGGCGTAATAGGTCTTCCATTAGATTTCCCTCTTTTCTCAGTTGTTGTTAAAAAAAGTGTCATTTCCTTGTTTTTTTTTTAAAAGAGAAATTTTAATTTAAATAAGAAAAAAAATCTATTATCTGATTCCACATCGCCAACATTTAATTATCTTGTTTTAAGGGCAAAAACACTAAATTAATCGGCAGATCATATTATTCACGTGTTCAGAAAAAGGCAAATCCTTTTACTTTAAGATATTTTTACTTAGGTTTCTTTCATCAGTTTTCGTTGTGTTCCAATTGGTCCAGTCACTCGAAAGCAAAACGGATGCAGGAAGTGGAAATGGGCCAAAAATAAATAAATACATAAGTCTGAAAATCACAAGTTTCCATTTAATTAAGAGACAATTGGTGTTTATGGCTAAAATTTAAACTGCCTGTTTTGTCTCATTAGAAGTTATGAAATCATCAGTGTAACTGGAATCCATAGTTTGTAATTGGTTTCAACAAACAACATCAGAGAGCACATTGAGAAGTTATGTTTTTATAGAAACATGGGAAAAAAAATCACTGCTAGAATGATTCAAAACGCTTAAAATCGACCCAGATATTTTGCTGCGACAGGTGAGTAAATCCAGTGTATTAAAGTTGTTATAACAATAAAGTGGAACTCAATGAAAACCCTGGTGTTCGTGTAGACTCAACAAAGAAGCCGCTCAGACCTAATTACTTCCCTTCGCTTTGATGCACACAAGTCTGCTTAATTCATACAAAGTTCAACAAAATTATAGTGCTGTGCAGATTATTAGTCACCCTCCCATCTAACAGTGCAGACACTATGGCGACATCAGAATATAAACACTTGGTGTGGTATTGTCTGTTTTTTTTTTCTTTCTTTTTTTCTCGGCCAAAGTGGTCAAAAGGAGGATTAGGTTTGGGAGGGATGTTGTCAGACCACATGATGGGTGACTGTGACCGTGACACCTTTTTCCTGTCTCCTTTTATTTCCTCTGCAACCCCCACCCCCTCATCCCCCCCCTACTGCCTCCTCTGCTTTAACAGACTACAATAACGGCGCTC